TGAATAAGCTAAATCGGTTTAAAAAACCTGAATAGGAATGTTTCGGTTCATTAAGTCGCATACATTCCTGTTCAGTGCTGCAACTGGACCTCGTCAATGTGACGGTTGCAGCAAAATAAACATGCAAAGTGTTAGAAGCAAAAAAGAATTTGGAAAATGCAAAAAGGTTAGAGCAAACGGTAAAAGTGCATTTGGTAAAACAAACCTCCACCATTATGGATATGAAACCACTGTAGGACCTGTACTCATTAGAAAACGTTTGCGAGCATTTTGGTATAAACTGTTTTAGATTGGCATTCGTCTTGAAAAGCGTCTCATTGCTAGTTTGGAACCTTGCCTTAAAATAATGGTGTTTTTTGCCTTCTTGGGAACCAGAAAAAAAGTGGTAGCGTAGTTTTTTGCATCTGGTGGCAGTCGAATATAAAGTCGTTTTTCTAATTACTTTTTGCATCCCAACTTCTTGCATTACTTCTTGTCTATATACAGATTAACTCGACTGTTTCTTTCGTTCACTTGTTCTTAAAGACACAAATAAAATGGTTTTTGCGGCTCGGAAAAGCCAAAATTTATCACTGGAGAACACACACACACACAGGGTTTCGATGTATGTGGTTTTTGACACTTATACAAATGTAAAATGAGTGTAGGAATTTATAGTACTGAATGCGAATCTGCTTGTTAGATTAGCTTCCTTTTTTGAAGCTCTGAAAATGTGTTATTTTGATACCGAAATCACAGTACCTGTGGGTGTCTCCCTTCACCGAAGTGATTTTTTCAGAACACTGCTTACTACAACTCCGGCCCAGCAGTGGTGCAACTGTCGCGTAGTGGGAATGCCGTCGTTGATAAATGCATTATTACATTTGCCACGTTGGAGTTGGAAGTGGAAATTTTAATGGATGAAGCTCGGAGCATTTTTTACAATGCTTTGATTACTTATGGAGAAGATGGTGCGTTTTCTCGCGAAGTGCTCTTGGTATCCAAATTTTTGAGTGGATGCATAACACAAAATATCACATTTCTTGAGGGGAAGAAGTTAGCTGTGACTCAACAAGTCATGTAAGAAAGCATGGCCACTCACACTTGGTTGCACCAAATTTATTGAATTAAAATAAAAATGATAAAATAAATTTAGCTCGGACGAAAATTCTTTCATCACAGATCTATGCGCTTGGATAGCACTTTGCCGCTGGTAAAATCTTAGCACTGAAGCTTGCGTGGTTGCCGAGTAGACATATTTGGATAGACGAACAAGCATACACACACACATACACACACACA